GTTGTGGACTCATTTGCCCAGCGCTTCAGACCAGCATATGAGAAAAGTAGGTCATCTGAAGTCGTTGTTTCTCGATCTTAGAGCGACGGCTACTGTTGATTTTCTTTAGGGCGAATTAACCAATATATTATATTAAGATTACCTATACCAACTACCTCTATCAAAGGACTACTCTCTAGAGGCATTCTACATAGGAAAAGTTTTCCATTTCAGCTCTGACCACCTTTCCTTCTATGACTAATTCATGACTGACCCAAAGCTCCTTCCTGATTAGTTTCAGGGTTAAGTTTACTCCAAGCAGATTGGGGTACTGTGTGCAAGAGTATTTCTACAGAAGTTGGTAAATGGCAGCTTTTTTTCACGGCTTTATCGGCGGCTTCATTTCCAATTATGGATGTGTGGCTCGAAACCCATTGAACGCGTATTTGGCCCCGTCTAATGTGGGCAAGCCGAGAGCGTTCTTGCCACTTGGGCGTCAAGATGAGGAACTCATCAAATTGCGCTTGTGAGAACCCTGAAACGTGAGACAAGAGTCGAGTGGCAACCTCTAAGTAATCTAGACAAATCTAGAGGTCTGTAGCGAATTTAGCAGTTGGGAGTGCTGGTGCAGATTTTGCCCCTTCTAGGGCGCCTTTCACTTCCGCATCAAAAACTTCGACGCCCTTTCCAAGAGCGATACCCTTATGTAGAACTTGTACACTACCTTGATAGCCGATAAAACCAGCCCCTCCCAGGCCATTTAGTTGCTTCGAGCCGTCTGATTAGATAAAAATGTCTCTAAAGGGGATAGTATGGAGGAAATCAAGGAAGACTTGTCTGTTTTCATCTGCAGAGCCACTGTTCGGTCCAGCCACCCGGGTGTGTGCGGCTTCTCGGCACTCACGTGGATTCTAGGGAGGCATGGCAGTTGAATTGATTTTCTCTGATTTTGAAAGAGACAGTACACGCCGAGCAAAACGAGAGGTAGGACGCTGTAAACTCAGAACTCTGTTAGCTCGGCGTAAGAGCGGATTTCGAGGATCTAGACGGCATAGTCGGACTTTAGCTGTAAGCATACGGCCATCGAGAGCTATTTCCGGTTGCTATAACCCTGATTCACGGTGTAGGATCGCTGTTGGTGTGGTGCAATACACCGGAATTGTTGCACGGGCGGAAGTGAGTATAACCTTTGAAAGCTGCTGTAGTAAAGAGTCTACACGATATGATATGTGTGCTTTGGGACCTTGTCTAGATCTACCTGGCCACCTAGTTTCTGAGGCGTAATACGCAATAGGGAGGACACATGCATCAATTGCATGACGCAGTAAATGAGGTGAAACCCCTCTTGTCGTATTTCCAAGGGATAAAAGAGCATGGCTAACCTTGAGGGCCTTTGAGGCAAGGGCTTGGGCATGCTACTTAAAGGAGAGCTTTTTATCAAAGAGTACTCCGAGCCAGCGAGTGTATGGGCGGGCAGTACTTTCAGAGACAGAGATAGTGCCAGCTCTTACCATGGAAGTATTTCCCGGCTGTTGGTCACATCGGCGGCGAGAGAAGTGTTGGAGCTCGTACTTGTCTGCGTCAAATTTTAAGCCTTGCCCTAAGCCCCATTGAATTGCTTCCTGGAGGTTCCGCGAAATATTTTCTGCATTTTCTTGGAGGGATTGGGAGGTATGAAGGAAGGCTATATGATCTGCATATCCAAATATTCTTTTAGGGGTTCCCATGTGGAGAAGAGGTGCAAGGTATAGCATGAATAAAATAGGAGATACTGGAGAGCCTTAAGGTAAGCCACAGGAGATATCTAATTCGGGACCGGTTGAACCATCTAGGAGGATCTTGGCAGCGCGTTTGGAGGTAAAGGAAGCGACCCATCTAACCAGGTTATCAGGCCACCCTTGGTCTCTAAGTCGGAGGACTTGTCGACCGGGGAGTACGCCATCAAAAGCACCCTTCACATCGAGCGTCAGGAGGGAGGCGGTAAGCTTACTATCCAATGCTGTTTCGATGTCATGTACTAGGCAGGTCGTCAAGTCTGTGGCCGAGCGAAGAGGCACGGCTCCAAAGTGTTGTGAAGCCACTATCTTGTCCCTAATAGCTATCCAAAAGAGGTGGCGGGCGATCAACCGTTCAAGGCCTTTCCCTAGGATCGAGAGGAGAGCGATGGGTCGATATGAGCGTGGAATGAATCAATCTGGCTTATTAGGTTTGTTTAACATGACCTGTACAGCAGTCTTGAAGCAAGCAGGATGATGACCAGCCTCAAGGCAGCCTCTAAAAAGACTGCTGACCCGAGTTTCAATTAATTGCCAGCCTTTCTTCAGGATTTCCGTTGGAATTTCGTCCTCACCGGGTGCTGTATTGCCTGCTCTAATGACGCGGTAACCTCCAAGAAAAGGAGATCTCTCGCGGCAGTACTTAGTAGGGGGAGAGGCCGTTGTTGACATACTTGTAGTCCAGCTCCTTTGCGTATATATGTGAGTACTCGAGGCCGGGATGACCAGTCATCCGTGGAGGTAAAGCACTCATAGTTAGAATTGAATTTAGTGATCTGGCGTTGTCGATCAGTGTAGATGTAGGGTTCTTGAATGAGAACGATATCGAATCTTTCTTCATTCGCAAAGGCAAGGGCAAGCTCGTGTGAAGAGGCTCCTCTACAGACGTTGATCTGCAGGAGACGCAGTGGCCCTATAGACCTGTGCCGTCTAGACTTCATCTTCAACGTCTAGAATAGTGTAGCGATTCTCAAGGAAAACTGTGGGACGCGGGGGTGAAGGTGAAGTGGTCCGAACAAGCTGGGTCGAGCTTGGGGGACCTTCCAGCATTAATGGACCGGGGTAGTGTCAGAGGGGTTAGTGGCTTGCGTGTAGATAGGGGCTTGGCCCGAAGGGGTGTCAGTCATTTCTTCATCTACTGTAGTGTTCGTGGTATTTCCACGGATGCAGCCTACAGTGGTGCATAGGCCAATTCTTGCTGCGGCAGATATGCTGCGGATTTGAGCTACTTGCCCCTTTGTCAGCTTTATACCATTTAGTCGGGGTCTGAGTGGGCACTCTGGGGCATCAGCTGGATGTGGACCATGACAGTGGATAAATTTAGATGGGCAGGGATGTTGGTGTGGCCCACACGGCTTATGGGTTTCCTCTGTATGCTCGACTGAGCCGCAGAGACGGCAGCGTGGAGCACGGGCGCAGATACGCTGATTATGTCATTGAAAACATCTACAGCATTGAGCGATATTGACTTTCTTTGATAGTTTACGGCAGTTGATACCCATCCCGAAAAGACGGAACCTTCTTGGGAGACGAGAGCCCGTGGGGAAGCGAGCGATAAATCTGGCGGATGGATCGTAGGGAGATGCAATACTTCCCTTAGTCTCGACTACAACAGTAGGATTAAACCCATTTTCTTCCTTAAGTTCCTTTAGAACGAGCTCTGGGATGATTGGCTGTTTGACGAGACGGTTATTTTTATCTAAAGTTGTGAATGTTCGAGGTACAGATGTGATTATGTAACTATCTAGGTTTTGAGCTTTTTCAATGCCCTGTACACCTGGATACCTCCCTTCTCCAATTCCCTGGAGTAAAAGGTCTTCTAATCTTGTTAAGGCCGCTTCTGAAGAAGGACGGAGGGCTTGGCCAGATGGGACATGTTGCACTTTCTTCAGCATGGTAGAATTCTCTCCAAGGAAATTTCGGAGTTGAAGGAGGAGTGAGTACGTTGATATGAGGCGTTCTGTCGCATTTTGTTGGAAATGGAGACACGGAGTGTTGTGGACGTATGGGCCCTCCATTTCGTCTAGGTTCCCGACACGATCTCGTGTGTATTTAAGAGGTTGGAACAGGCAATATGGTAGCGCTTCAGGCTACCTATTGGACATATGAGCGGCTGTATGGCGTGGGCGCAAGGAGGTTATTTGGGGTTTTCTATGCCTAGATGGCGCCAAACTTGTTTATGCTGTGGCTTAGGCTCTGTGTCGCTTACACTTGTACTTGTAGCGCACGCTTCCCACACTTTTAGCTGTAATCCGAACATGATACTCTTTTAGTCAAATTCTACTTTCGTTCCATGAATATTGCGCCCATTACATTGCGCGATATTTCCAACACATTTTCATCAAGGCGTAGAAACAATCGATCATCCAAAGGCAGCGGTTTGGCCTGTTTTTGGAGATTGGAAGGTCTCGGTTTCTGAGGGGTGCTAACTCCAGCATTGCCCTTAGGTTTTCTTGCAACGTTCGCGTATGAGGGCTTCGCATGGGAAACTGGCTTTGGCTGGATTGTCAGAAGGTGGGTAGTTGTTGCAGGAATTGGTACACCTCGCACATGGTTTTCGAAAAATTCTTGTGCAACAGCTTGCATACGGGTCAAGAACTCGTTATATATTTTCTGCAAATGGAGGGTGATTGTAGAGGCAGCCGTATCACATGTGACATTATCCAATGCTGCGGTGACGCTGCCAAACAAAAGAGTTGCCTCCTGCGTTCTTGTGTTAGCAGCGGAAGTCGCTTGGTTCAGCGTTTCTGTCAGTGTCGTTGGTGCCCCTACTACTGACGGAGGAATAGGGGGGGATGGGGGTCAGGCATTGTTCGCGGTCGTAGGTATAAGTATGAAATTGAAACTAAAGGGCGATTTGAAAGGAGTTGATGCAGCAATGCTTCCACAAGAAGAGATGAAAGGCAGCTCTAATGTTTAGATGTAGCAAGTAGATTGGCTGTAGAGAGGCAAAAACTAGATGATGATGATGATGTAAGCGTACCACGTGTGCATGCGTCATCTGACTTAAGGTCAGATGGAGGCGAGGCCGTGACTTTAGGACTAGTTTTCGGATATGATACTCTTCAAATATAAACTTTATCAGTTCTAGTTGGATTTTAGATGCTATGGTCTGGTACCAGCGATTTGAACCTACGAGTCGGATCGAAATTTGCATTAAGCTAAGCAGGTTAGTATTACCTGGTTGGGCCATCTTCTACTCAAGCTGCTGGAAGATAAATTCTCATTTCGTAGTGTGTTTCCGTATCAGCAGATGACTTCATTTTTCCATGTCAGGACCACTTCACGCTCATGAATATCTCCACCCGTATAGCGTACTCCAATATGGATACCATCCAGTCCTTCTTTCTCAGCTTTTTTATTCCAAATCATCTGCAAGAGTTTTCCGTTCGCACTACACTGTGCATATCCCATTGACCATTGACTTCTTAGCAAAGCTTCTCTAACACCCTTTGTTACAGGCTGTTTGGACACGAGTAAGCCCAGTGTACCTGGCTCCCTCCACCCAGCAGGAGCTCCTATAAAGGAGCCTTCGAGTTCTCTAGCGTACGCGGGGGTTAATTTTCCAGCTTTTGCTTTGCACTGAACGAGGATTTTTAAGGCTTGAAGCGCCGACGGGGGTGACCATGTGCCGAAAAGGTCAGTTCCTCGGTCATCTCGGCCGCCAACGCGCTTTAATGTCATCCCTAAATGCTCAAGTGCTGTCTTTACCGTGTATTCATAGTGAGTGCCCACATAACATGTACTAGAAGGGTCTAGGTGGATACGTTTAGCATACTCCAAAAAGGTGTGCAAATTATGATGATTAGAGTTGTGGCCTTCATAAGATGATAGGTATTCCGTTGTGGGTGTTATCATAGGTGAAGTTGCATAGTTCCGATGCCGGACCCAATCGGTGCGCCAGTTACACAGAGTTAAGTACCGAGCCCCAATCATTGAAAATCTTAAAATTCGAGGCAATTGGTAGGTTCATTGGTAGAAGAAGTAAATAATTAAAATAGTAAGTTGGTCCACAAACTTGATATTCCAAATAGGTAGCCTTTCTGGCCCGTGCTGGCTCATTCCAGCGATATATCGTCTTCAATTTTAGCCTTGGGTCCACTTTAAAATCTAACCGCACTTCTCCATGGCGGATCGTTTGACTCAACTACAAGATGCAATTGATCAGGTATGACCAAGTAACTAAGTTCAAATATTATCATCTAACATCAGCTTTTAAGCTGGCCAACCAATTTGTTGCTTCTTTATCGTACATCAATAAGCACCACAGTCCGCAAAGGTTAGGGTCAACGGATGTTGTCCGGCAGGAGAGCAATGGCGAAGGATTTTATAAGCAAGCGCAACCACAGGGTGCACACAACCCAAACCTTTGACTTGAGAGTTTATTAATATAGCTAACAGTTGATTCTCTTCCATCTGATGTTTTCAAAGCTGCACAGTTAGAGTTAGCTCAAGATCTAATACTCAAAGAACAGGAGATAGAAGCTCTTGTTTCAATGCTGCCTGGTCTCGAAAATAGTGAGAAGTTCCAAGAGCAAACTATTCGTCAGCTGGAAAAAGAACTAAGGGCTGCAGACTTGGAGATCAAGAAAGCATTTGAGTTAAAGGAAGAGTTGGTGGAAAGATTGGGCGTAGCTATTCAGTCAATCAAGCGACCCTGAAAGGCGCAATAGTCTAAGTGGATAAATTGAAGTCAAGTTATTCACAAAAGTGGTATTTCTAGAATGATCATACTTTTCACATCTGGGGATATTTAATATGATATGATGGTAGATTTTAACTAAATAAAAAATATACATCAGGTTTACATAATAATCAATTATGAAAAAACTGTGGAAACAAACACCTGAGCTCATTCAAATGCCTAATTTGGTATTTGCATGGCTTTGGGGGAGGGGGGAGGCCCTCATCCTCAGATAAATGTACTGCTGTCCAGCCGATTTCGTCTGCCTTGCTGCAATTTAATTCAGAATCATCTGAATAGTACTTAGCCTCTAGCCATTTTTTACTTAAACTTAACGTACCAACAAAGTAACACTTTCGAGCATCTTTTACAGCTGCCTCCCTCATTGCTTTTTCATACATTTCCAAGTGGGGCTTACAAGTTAGCTTCTGCTCACTATAATCACAGTAAGTGATGCCTTCAAATAAATGATCTACCCCCAGCAGACGTACGACCCTCTGGCCATGAGTTATGTAAGCATTTGTGAATAACCAAAGCTTAACTTTCGACTTGTCTATGTCTTCAAGAAGTTTCTGTAATTCGGGATCTGGAGATAGGATACTTTCAAGTGGTAAGGCGTCATCCACTTGACGGTTATATTCCATCGGATCAATCTTGTGATGTCTTGCCAGGCCTTCCACTGCAAGACCATAATTCTTGTAGTATTCTTGGTTAAGTTTGCAGGCATCTTCCTTAGTCAATTCAAGATGTTTCACAAAATATTGGTCAATAAGTTCTGTCATGTAATTGTAAACTCTTTTGCCTTCGTTAATTAGCAGCATATGTTAAATCTTTATGCTACATACTCTTTGGGTACAGCTTTAGGTTCTAATTAGTATCATTCTCCCCTAAAGATATTTGAATGCTCTCACTTACACAATTATCAATATCGAAGAAAAAGATTGGTCGTTCGTCAGCCATCACTTTATGATTATTAAAACTAAATATATATCTGAGGTTCAATGTTTGAAAATTTCGTATACCCAATCTGTATGCGCTTCTCGCAAAAGATGGGTTAAACTTTCCATAGTACATTGACTTACCACTGGGGATACATGTGCATCGAGCTTGCGCTGGTCCAATACGTGAAGCTCGGTCCGCTTAGCTCGCTTGGCATACTTGAAATTAAACACACGTCTTCGTCACTGCGCCAGCCGCGCCTTTGCATTTACATCAAAATTTTTATCTGTCAAAATTTCCCAGTCATAACTATTACGCTTCTTGCAGACATCAAACGTCCTCCAACATGTCCCAAGGTGTGGTGGGAGCTACACCCGTAGACCAAGCAGTGCTTACCACGGAAGAGCTTCGTGAAATGTTAGAATACGAGAGGATTATCCAATTTAGGGATGCAGTCATCTCAGGATCTCACCCTCGCATTAAAATTCCATCAGCTCAAACGGAGATGCGTTCAAAAAACCTGAAGAGTATAGAAACTAATAGTCAGTCAGCGCCACAAGCCAACCCCAATAATTCAGGAATAGGCGAGAGCCCAAATATCACTACGAATACCCATGATCCAATTCATTCTGGAAACAAAACTAATGATGTACAAAATATTCCATCTCTCAAGACCACAAAGCCGGAAAAGCCAGAAATCAAACCTGTACTCCCAGAAAAACCAAAAGATCTTGTAAAAGCAAGGCTTCAACTTGAGAGGCAAAGGCTTGAGGGGAGTCTAAAGGATCAGGTTGAGCAACAACGAAAAAATGCAAAAGTCTTGCTGCAAAAAGCAGAGTCCTTACCAGACTTTGACATTAGTGAGGTACTAACTAAAGCCCTCTCAATAGTACAACCTTCAATTTCTATCGAAGAAGAGCCATCTGGCGGTGCACGCTCATTAGACAGTCGTTCTCTTGATGATAATACATTTTACTCTAGTCAGCAAGATACCCCTGAACTAACAAATTCTCCTAAAGTTTCAAAAGTGGATGAACAAAAGTGTCCTGCTCCTGATTCTGCTTTTGCTTCATTTACGGATCAAAGCAAAGCAGAGGCGTCGACTACTAACGGCAAAGACAAATCTCCACCGGAGTTAATGCAAGAAAAAAACAGTCATCGCAGGTCATCATTGCAAGCCCCAAGTAAAGAAAAGGAAAAGCTCCCAGAAACAGGGCTTCCTGGTTCCGTTAATCCTCGAATAAATGTTTCAAAAGAGAAAGAACCAAAAATCATCGAGGCGAAGAAGCTGGTAGAAACGGCAACAAGCAAGCCTATGGCTACAAAAACAAAAGTGAGTATGACTTCATTCACAAAATCTTCATGCGAAGGCTCCCCAGAAAAAAACTTCAGTAGTGGAGTTGCCTCTATACCAGCTCATCATCAAAACTTATCTCCTGCTGTATCTTTATCTACACGTGTTTCACCTATGACTACAACCAAAGACCAAGCTGCACGTCGTAAAACTGTCATAGATGATGGGAATCGGACCCAAAATAATATCCCTCGTCAATTACAAGGGATATCAAGTGCAGAAAGCTCGCCTAAGGGAAGAAATAGTGACAAAAAGAAAGACAAAAAAAAGAGACGTAGGGTCAAGAATGTTGGCTCCCCTGATCCGACTTACATTAAGCCCGAGCCAAGATCGCCTTCTCCTCTCGCACCGATGGCACGACCACCAAAAAGACAACGAGCTCAGTATGCTTCTGACTTGAATTACTATGAGTCACCTTCTGGCTCCTATGCAATGGAACCGGGGCGTACGAAAGACCAGTATCAGACATCATGGCGACCTAGGTATTATGAGCAAGAAACAACGCGCGTTGCGAGTGACTACGAACTGCGCCATCGTCAGATTCTAGATGAAGATTACGCTCGAAGAGAAACTGGAAGAAGCTATACGCAATGGGCCCATTCTCCGCAACCTGCTCCGATATACCCTCAAGTTGAATCTCGCTCAAGAGCTGTATCAAGTGCAACTGTCAGGCGACTCAATGAAGATGATAGACCACTCAGGGAATCTAACATGAGAGCCAGTGTTCGCCCTGATGTGGATCGTGATCGATCCAGATCTCCTTACAGAGAAAATATTCCAATGGGGCCACCACGACCGCCCGTTCGTATTATGGTTGATGAATATGGACGCCAGTATTTCAACCCATCTACACCCTCACTCAGGCAGTCAATTGCTCCATCAATTAGATACCAAGATGATCTAATGTATGAACGAGTGCCCGCAAGATCTGTATCTAGCCGCATTCCTATGGTCCCTTATGATGAAGAAAGCATAGTCGTTCGAAGAGCTTCACCTACTTTCTTCGCACCTCGACGTGTGATAACTCAACCAGAATATTATCCTGTTCACCCTGGCTACCGACCATATCGGCAGAGAGAGTACTCAGTACATCCTGCGGCAATAGCCCCTCCGGGAGATGAATACCCATCATACAGATATCCTCCCGAACATCTATCTATGTCTCAATACGAGGAACCATCGCGCGAAAATCTTCGAGCAGCTACCGTCAGACCTGAAGTTATACGTTATGAAGGGCCTGCTGGATATCAAGAAAGAATGAGTAGCGTTCGACCAGAAAATCCACCCCGGAGGTCTGAAGGAAGGAGAGATATGATCCCTCAGGTACAGCGGGAATACAGTGTCCGACCTACTGATACTGGCCCTCGCGAAACGTTTCCCGATGATAGATATTACGAAGAACCTCCTGTAAGGCAGTTGCGTCGCCCAGAGAGTATAATATTACAGGGAGATAGCGATTACTATGAACCTACAGTGAGACGATCAATTAACGAAATGAGAGCTGCTGAAGCTAGTAGATACGAGGATAGGTATATTCGGCGTGATACTGATGTCAGGTTCCCTGAGGAGGCGCGTGCTCGTGATCCATCTGTATTCGCATACCCAGATGAGATTACAAGGAGCGCCTACAGGTGAAGTGGTCAAAAAACATGTTGGGATCTTGCCAATGGTCAATCATCGGTCAACAGTCTACAAGCTTAACCTTTGTAATATGAAATTCAGATACTCTCACCTGTACACTCCCTAGGATAAGACATGGAATAATAATATGTACATTAATTTATGATCTTGGGAATATTTTCTAACTATTTTCTGCCCTAATTAATACCCATCGCATGAAAGCTGACTTGTAACTGGTATATATGTCAGTGTCAGATCATGAGCATTCGGAGTTCAAGGATTAGACAGTACTAGTTACATAAGGACAAAGATCCAACTACGAGCTTAGAGCTCCGGATTTAAGCGTGCTCTCTAGTGAAAGTGCCGAAGTAGCCATAAAAATATACGATATTTGTGTTCAGGAATAAATATTGAATCATTAAATCAACCTGTCTTTCGATAATACAGACGTGAAAGCATATGCAATGTTACTCTCAATAATGTGATAATTGTTGTAATACTTAGATACAGGCGTGTCAAAGTCAGGGGCGATACGCTGAGCTGCACCAAGCCAAGTGACTAACTATCAACAAATTGTGATCTCTCTTCTGGTTCACGTACATCCCAAAATATCGCGGCCTAGCCAAGGCGCCTGGACATTTCAGGGAATTTATTATGCCCAACCGAGTCTTCCCTCATTTCTAGTGTGTATGAGTTTATTGTACTACTTGAGTCATAGACCATCTAGCACATTGGGCTCCTACTTGACCCAGACCGCACCTTGTAAAGTGTTCCTTGCCTCTCACGTTCCTTTAAAGATCAATGATATATTGTCCGTGATGAATAGCCATTCAGCCCAGTATTTACCCGTGGAACTCGGCCACCTTTTCCACGGAACCTTCTACCCAAAAGAAATAAAATGGTAGCAATGGAAACTGTATGCGCGGGAAAAAGTCTCCAAAAACCTGCAGCCCCAGCCAGGCGAGGCCTAGACACCGGGACCACATGTGGTGCGCATATTCATCTATACCTCCCTTCTTCGTAACATTCGAGGCCGACCTGATCCAATCCACCATCTCCGTATCGGGTGCAGGGTACGCTCCGGAAACTCATGGGATGGCTTTTCCTCCATGATCAAGTGTTGGTGATTAGTAGGGCTTCGGCCCTACCATCTGATCTGATCGTGGTTAGCTTCATGATAATGGTGATAGGGGAATGTGTTGAGATATGAGGACGATACAGATCGCGAAAGCGATTGGGAATCCTCGTCGAAGTGAGGACTTTGTTACTCAATCTCGGCTCTGCAGACTCCACAGTGAGAGCTGGAGGTTCGCAGGGAACACCACTGACAGTTAACAGGTTTCGTCCCTCTTTCACGCTTATTAAATGTTTAGTTCTTTGACATAGCTTTTCATGTTATCTTCAACTACTTTTTAACTTGGTTCATGTTTGCCATAATTTGCGTTTCATAACACCAATGATTTAAAGTCGTCAATGGCGAGCTCCGCACACAATACCAAAAAACATGCCATGTAAACATATACTGGAATCTGTCTAAGTCAAAAGACTATGAAAAGTTGGAAATTGAATTCTATTTACACTAGCTGGCAGACTACATGTACAATCAAGTTCACCAAGCATCATGCTTGGCTCTGTTTTTTTTTTCTTGATACATATGGTATCCAATTAGCTAGCTCTGAAAATATTCTAAAACATGTAACGACCATGGTTTAGAACTTATTTCGACAATGTATATTTAATTAAGGTCAGGTTCTTAGTACCAGTGGCAGGGGCGTAGACATATTTGTGGCAGGTGGATCAGACCTACGCTTTTAGCACAAGTGTATAAGTTTGTGGAAGTTTCTCATGCAATCCATGGTTGATCAAGTATGGAGTTTTGGAGCACATCGGAGTATGAAGTAGATCACGTGTAACGCAAGCAATATAATTGTACTCAGGGTTGGATGGTGCAGTGGTAAACCACCCGGGCCATTCTCCCAAGTAGACATTGGGTGGCTTGAACACCTACCCCAATCGAGACAGGAGAAAGCTGGTTCAAATCCCGCCAGACCCACACATCACTCTCTCTAGCGATGATATTGTATCTGTGGGGTGATGAAAGTATAATCGAACAGCCATATGTTTTTCACGCTTTTCCCTGTGGTGGGTATGCACGTAAGAGGGTATGCGCCGTAAGGATTAACCTCGAGTGGTATCTGCAAATGAAATCTGAGTGTGAGTGTTCTAAACGTCAACTTGAGTCATCTTACTTAAAGTACATATCTTCCGATAAAACCTGCATGGGCCTCAAGGCGCCAAATCAGGATAATGAACTATATATATATATAATTGTACTCAGTAAAGGGCTTGCTTTTTAAGCCAGAACAGAGAGGGTTATTTGCTATTCTAGGACAATCCGTGAACCATAATGAAACCATCTACTATTTATGGTTAGGGCGAAAATAATTGATCGAATTTACAGTGTGTTGGTAAAACCTTTCCAAGTCAGTTTACGGACCAGAGCTTAACCAACACAATTTCTTGCGACCACCATTTTGTTAGAAACTAACAGGTTTTGTCTTATTTATTATCATATTTTAAAATTAAGAGAACGTCATGACTTCATAATTTACAGTGAATGCTTCTCTTAGCTGTTGTTTTTGTTTTATGATACGAAGCTGTCACTGCGTCCGTTGCCTAAATAGAGCCTAGTTCGAATGGCATGAGGTTTCATTTGCGAGGCAGATTTTCGAAACTACAGCGATCAAATGAATATTGATAGATCATAATCCTGTCTTTGGACCCAGAAATTATTTTCAATCTGTAGCACAAAGCATTGCCTGCTGATAAAAAAATTTATTTGAAGGCCATCTTACGGAGGTAGTTGGCTGCCCCTTTCACGATTGATCAAGTACAGGGGCATTATCGAGGCTATTATGAACATTTATCACAGTATGAAACCACTTCTTACATCTAGGTCTCTTCCTAGACTGTACACGCTTATCTCGCCACGTATTTTTGGCTCAAAATTTTATTCAGAAATAGCCAGTTGTAAAAAAACGAGGGATCCTATTACTATCAAGAATGATAACGGAAGGATACCTTGGAAGGAACTATCATTGAAAGAGAGAGTAGCTAGAAGTTCTAAGCAAACATTCAACTTTAGCATTATTGTCCTTGGTGCAACATTGAGCGTCAGTTTACACGATATTTCGTATTTATAATACTGATTTTATGTAGGCTGCGGTTTCTTACATCTTGTATACAGAGGTCTTTTCTCCTGATAGTCCGACTAGCCATTTTAACCAGGCCTTTGGCCGAGTCATCAACGACCCTCGATGTATTAAACTCTTGGGCGAGCCTGGAGAAATCTCTGCTTATGGTGAAAAAATTCATAATTCAAGGCGAAGATCACAGCCATTTGTGTAGGATTCTATATTTCAATCTAGTTTTATCCTAACAAAGTCTAGATCTACCTTGAGAACCGATGAACACAGAGTCAATCACCTTCTCTTCCACTTTACTGTAATTTACACAAACCATTCTTCAAAAATAATAAACTTACCATTACCAGGTTAAGGGTCCAAAAGCAAGTGGAATTGTCTATGTACACATGATAAAACGGCCTTCCGAGAAAAAATTCGACTACAAATATTTGGCACTTGATGTTGCGGGTAAAAATAGAATTTATCTCGAAGATTCAGACGAGAAGCTAAAAGGTCCGGCGACCAAGGTCTTTAAGCTATTCGGAGTAACTTGGCGCTGAAATTTAAGGAACACTATTGGAACCTAATCATTGCAGCTCAATTAAACTAAACTAAGTTGAAGGAGGCCTTGAAACCAATGTGAGTTTCTCCGTGGCATTAAGAACCTCGAAAATATTCAGAACTACATCCAAATGTTTCAGCGATCAACGCCATCCTTAATTTCACTCAACAATTATGTCTCTGAAGTTTTAGGAATTAGCTCTCACATATTTTCTCACAAAGACCAATTACGCCTCTGGACTTTATTTCATGACACAACCATCAATATACTTCATTGAATTTATACAATTTTTTTAAAATTGGGGTTTTAATGCTAACAAGAACTGGACTCATGCTACAAAGCTGGAAAAAATTATAAAACAGAATATGCTGGCCATTAATGAAAGATGATTAGGAGTATGGGATTATCTAAGCATTTTCGCCAGGACACTCCAACATTCCACCTGCATTCATTAGTTAGTAATTCGTTGTTGGGCCCTAAGCGCGCTTGGCGATGGAAATAGGACTTCTATCTTAGTCCTCGAGTTGCAGACTTTCTTAGGTAGATATGAATGAATAACGTCGAGTCCACCGACTTATCCGGTATCCGTAACCTGTGTAAAAGTGATGTCGCCCTGTATAACCAAGAATTTTAAACAGGTTTTCAAGCACAGATCAACACTGAAATATAATTGACAGGTGAAAACTTTATATTACTAATCTGCATTAAACTAAATCCATACTAAAAAAAACCATCAATAATCTTCTTGTAACCTTGTTACAATATGATTCCTTTAGATGGGCAACATAGTAGTATTGGAAGTAGAATTGATAAAGTATAGGGTTCACAGAACGTGTATATAACTCTGCGCTCACGGCATTTGAGAATGCTGCGACTATGCTCCTACTAATGTGTCTACCAGCCTCGCCTACACGATAATATGAAACTACTAATAAAGGGTATTATTAAAATATACGTACTCTGATCACTTGTATAACTTGATAAGAGACACTGCACATCAGATGTAAGGCGTAGATGAATCAGTATTGAATTGATGTCCCACAATAGTGATATAAGTTGGGTCTTGTTGAAGCCCTCATCCGCCAAACTGTGTTCCAATTATCAACTCTATTCTTAACGTGTCTCATTCCCTCGTTTAACCGAGAAGTACTCTGTCAATGACCTGAGTCATCATAGAATGACTACTCCTTCACTTGACAGATCATCTCTTCGACTCGTCCCTTACTTGGTGAATAACAACAGACGCGTGGGGGACTATTCTCAACACCTGTCAGCGGTGTCCCCTACGAACCTCCAGCTCTCACTGTAGAGTCTGCAAAGCCGAGATTGAGTAACAAAGTCCTCACTTCGAAGAGGATTCCCAATCGCTTTCGCTGTCTGTATCGTCTTCATCTCTCAACACATTCCCCTATCACCATTATCATGAAGCTAACCACGATCAGATCAGATGGTAGGGCCGAAGCCCTACTAATCACCAACACTTGATCATGGAGGAAAAGCCATCCGATGAGTTTTTTTAATTCATTTTATTGTCCTGTCTGAGTCTATGACTATGTAGGACATGCAGGTCCTCTCTGCCTACAGGCCAAGGATACCTATACCAGTAGTATATCCCCTCCTATGCCTCCCCTAGAGTTCCCCTCAAACAGTAACACCCCTCACAAGTCCTCATTTAATCATACACTAAGAGGAGCCCTTTGCCCTTCATTATCTCCCCTCTCCAGCCAACGAAACGATGGCTATTTGCGGGTGTATGGCAGCCGGGAAAAATCGCAAAAACCACCAGGTGCGGAGCTCTCCTAATACCGACATTAGGACTAAATCCGAAGACATATTGTCCCTTCTGAAGCGTTCGAAGAGGCCGGCCAGCTGGGCGCTACAGACTTGTGGGTACCTCGGGAAATTCATCCTCTACCTTTCTAGCCTCCTTCCAACTCCTTCCCGAAGGTCTTGCTGAAATGTCAGAAATGTCTTGACAGAGCGTGATTGCTGTACGGCAGCTTAGCCCAACTTCTTTTGTGCCGTCCAGGGCGCTGGGAAGTGCCGTTGACTCATCGACAAAAAAAGCCCTCCTGGCTAATTAGCCGAAATCTCGGTCTTGGCGCCCACAAAAAATCCAAAATTGAAAACTCTTCGAAAGTGTCAGTCCAACACGGTCTTCAGAGGCCTCTTTCCCCTCTCACTCCACATCTCAGCTGCCTGTCCTTCATCAAGATGTATAACCCCATTATAGTAACAGTCCCCCATAAACTAAGACCCCAACTTTGTATTTGTCGACTTGATTTCCTCCTTGCGGGTATGAATAGCGTCGTAAATTTGTAGTGAGTGATGGCCGGTGATGAATGAGGCAAGCTCCTGTATGCATTTGGAGCAACTTCTTTATTGGTCGTTGAGGACTCAGATGATAATGATGAGAGAGGTATTATCGAGAAGTTGTCAAATGGAGATGTGTATGAGGTTGCTTTCGACTTCGATTCGGATGCGATTCTTCTTGGCTATCCCAGATATGCAGAGCATACTGAGCGATTACACCGGCACCACTGGAAGGTGAAGAATTCGTCTTTGTCGGCAATCCGATGAGTTTCCGGAGCGTACCCAGCATCCGATACGGAAATGGTGGATTGGATCAGGTCGGCCTCGAATGTTACGAAGAAGGGAGATATAGATGAATCTCCGCACCTCATGTGGTCCCGATGTCTAGGCCTCGCCTGGCTGGGGCTGCAGGTTTTTCGAGACTTTTTCCCGCGCACGCAGTTTCCATTGCTACCATTTTATTTCTTTTGGGTAGAAGGTTCCGTGGTAAAGGTGGCCGAATCCCACGGGTAAATACTGAGCTGAATGGCAATTCATCGCGGACAATATATCATTGATCTTTAAAGGAACGTGAGAGGCAAGGAGCACTTTATAAGGAGCGGTCTGGGTCAAGTAAGAGCCCAATATGGTAGATAGTCTGACTCAAGTAGTACAATAGACATCACTCACTCGCATGCGAATGGCAGATGATGTTTCACCGGTCAGATAAAATAGTAGATGATGTGCAGCCCGCGGTATAATACACCCACACTGATCAATTGATAGAGTCACTACATAACTCAAGCAGCCGCGAGCTCGCCTCTCACATCATCGTGATAAGCTCAGTCCCTTACCGCGTGTGCTAAATAGCGATTTCAGCCCTTCAGCTTTCACAATATTTCATCATGGTAATGAGAATCTAGCTCCATCTTGGATACCTACTATCCGAGATTCATGCTGACTTATCACAGTTACCTCTCGGTCTATTGACAGCTGCCCAAGGATATCCTATGCTTGTCGAACTTAAGAATGGCGAAACTCTAAATGGACATCTCGTCACTTGCGATACATGGATGAATTTGATGCTCAAGGAGGTGGTGCAGACGAGTCCAGTATGTAAGCCGGGGCAGTGACTCCGACTCACTCACCTTTATCCGAAAATTGTGTGCTAGTTATCTTGAGACTGACCTGAATTTCAAATAGGACGGCGACAAATTTTTCCGTATACCTGAGGTCTATGTAAAGGGAAATAATGTAAGTAAAGCACATGCGCTTGGAGCGGCGTCGCAGGTACTCACACATCCATAGATCAAGTACCTGCGTGTCCCAGACGAGATTGTAGACCTAGTGAAAGATCAACAAGCGCGCGATCAAAATAGCGGTGGATATCGTGGTCGAGGCGGCTCGTCGCGCGGTGATCACAGAGGCAACGGCGATAGAGGTAGAGGACGTGGAGGCTCAAGAGGACGTGGGCGAGGCAGAGGAGCCTAATAACCGATTTCCGCGTCAAACTATTTGTCAATCCCAAGGAATTTCGCAATAATTGTCTTTTGTCGACGAAACACCCTTGTCTTTGGACAGAATGGATGAAGCCGCAGTACCTATGGGTGAGGCATCCCGTAAATTTCCCATCTTCCTTCATGGCATAGCAAAAAACTGATAGATCAGTAGAGGATTCCTTTCGCAGCTGCAGGCTAGTATAAATCCACATGTCAATTCAGGCGAGGTAGACAGGACCATCAGGTTCCCTCACGCTCGGTACAACTCTCACAAATGTGGTTACTGGTCCACTGGAGTACACATCTAGCCACTCTGAACTTGAGAACTACTTTTGCATGTTTCCCCAGTCGTCAAGTTCCCTTTTTGTCTGTCGAAAGTCTTACCAAGCCGTCCCTAGAAATACGACGACTGCGATACTGTTCGCCATGTTTGTTTATTTGGGAGGTAAAGAAACTAGATGGTAGTTGACAATAATTTTTGGGCTTAACTATCAAGTCACAAAATCATGACAGGATGATGATCTGATATACTGCTATGGACAAAGCATGTGTGTTTGTTTTACAATTTTCACCACATATTGAGATATCGCTAATAAGCCTTATGTAATCATAAAATTTCAACACGTGCTACTATTTCGGTCTTGAAAGTTTTTTCTAAAAAGGCTCTGCTAAGCAGGCGCAACGAAGTTTCCGATAATGTTTTTATCTGATCTGGATTTGCAATGGAGGAAGTATATTCTGACAGCCTGTTATAGCTAGTCTAGCTTACTCAATTGTAGTTCGCTGAAACCAATAATTTTTTTAAACATACTCTCTCTTAGTCTTAAATCTTGGACATATTTGTCCTCTCTACTTCCAGGCCAAGGATACCTTTGCGAGTGGTACATACTCTCCTATATAATTCCTCTCAAGCAATACCAGCTTCTTGAGCTCATTTGATCGTAAACTCAGAGGAGCCCTTTGCTCTTCATGTCCTTCCCACCCCCCGCATCCAAACAATATCCATTTGCACTTAAAAAGAATAGAAATTGATTTCAGAAATTATATGGCCCCTAAAGTAAAAGTGGTAGCCAGGGCAAATCGCAACAATCACTGAGTGCGGGGCTCTCCTAACACCGAAATGGCGCTAAATCCGAGGACATAGCTATCCTTCTGAAGCGTTCGAAGAGGCCGGGCAACTGGGCGCTGCAGAATTTGACGTTATTTAAGAAACCACCCTCTATCTTCCTAGCCTCTTTCAACTCCCTGTCGAAGGTCATGATGAAATGTATATGAGGTCTTGACAGAACTTGTTTTCCGCATAGCAGCTTAGTCCGGTTTTAGGGTTGTCTGGATGTATGAGAATGACATAGATTCACCGGAAACAGGGGTCTTCCAGCTACTTTAGATTCAATACTGGCCCCTGCAGACTTTACGGAGAGAGCTAGATTTCTGTAGAATACAGCGTGGAAAGGCGTTGAGTTTTAATTTCTTGCGATAATTCATTGAATTAGTGATAGGCCTAGCGGATCTGAGCTATTTCCCATTTTCTGCGAGATTAGAGTAGATATACATGTCCATGTTTGACACCTTACGCGAAAACACACTTGCTGGAGGTGGGGATTCTTCATTGCTCTGAGGAGAGGGAGTCACTGGTCTTCCTGGCCTAATTTTTGGACATACCTGATTGGTAGTTTGATGGCCGACAGCCCCTGGCCATGGTTGAAATCTTGAGTTTCGCACTAGATTCGAACATGTAGATCCGTTCGCCTGCGGGCCGAAAGTGTTTATGTCTCGGGTTGCAGACCATCATGATGGATCCTTCACGGCCTCGATGCAACGCTGATACTGCAGCACTTCTTTACCCGCAAACACACCAGAGTGGCTGCTGTCCCTTCGTAATCTTCGCCCCCCTGACCAAGGCGTGAGCATCTATAAGTGGCCTAGCGACCGGGCGAATTAAGGGAAAAATGCTGCGTAAACGGATTTTATAGCACGAGCACGAGGGCTAGGCCCCTGGACGAAGTTTTTTCTGAGTTTGGAGAAGCTACTGAGTCAGGCGTAGCAAGTCTTTAAGTAATCAAGGGCGTAATAGCCTATCAGAAGGTAGAGCCGACATGGATCACTTCTCACAATGTGTCTCGCTCGTTCGCATCATGTCTGGCAGTAAAGGCTGCTATGCACCTGGAAAGAAGAAAGTGAAAGTGGAAGGACCATTCTTGAGGTTTGATAATTAGCCAATCCATCATTTATCACGCCATTCTTGGGCAGTCTTTGATCTGTCATCTCCCTATCCGCGGCAATCCAATAAAAAACAACTTCGTATTCAACTTGAGGAAACTTGACCTGTAGGGCCTTCAAATTAACCCATTTCCTTTCTGATTGATGAGATTTCTCGGCATAGCTAGCCCCTAGGATAGGCTGGCAGGCTTAATCAATGTTGCGCCCCTTACAAGCCTTCGTACCTGTGTAGTAATTTTCGATAGCGAGGTAAGTACACATGAAAGTACCATCTATAGAAGAGTATCATCCTAGATTCTTCGAGATGGAGGCTAACAAAGTGTATCGTGAAATTTCCATCCTTGATCTTGGGATATTGCTAATTCAAGAAGTACCTATCGACTTGACTGCAAGCTATAACCCTTAGATCGAGCTCGACCTAATTGTGACCACTACAGTAAAATATCCCTTTATGGTGCCATTTTCTATCTGGAAAAGATGTAGTTGGGGTAGTTAGTGTGGTTATGAGGAGAGGAATTGCCTACAAACATTAGCTTTATCAATATGATATGCTTGACACTATTATGAAGTGGACGATGATATTTATTTGCTTTATTAGACTAGTTTCCCGATGATTGCTATCTACGTGACGGAGAAAACTCCTGTTTATACCTATGGCTCATCTGTCTACTTGCTAGTAGAATATTCTATAATATTATATAGAATAGTCTGCATTCTTGTTCATTCTCCTATTCTACAAAAGACATCAGACATCTTTTTCTCGATCATCCATAAGATATGGAACGTCTCTCTACTCCTTTCCAGCTGTTCCCTCTAATTCGATACCTATTAAGTGCATCTTAGTTTGGTCATCGCGCCCGTGATGGCCAAATTACAACAACCACCTCCTCTGGCCCAGCGCAATGCGAAAGGTCGAGCTATTTGGGTTCAAACCTTCCATGACAAGTTTTGGATAGCCGTTGAAGAGGCTGATCCTCTCATCCAGTCCTTCGTGCGCGAGCAATTAGACGCGTTTCTCTTTACGGTTGCTTCCGAGCACCATATGTAACACGACAGCCAAAGACAACTCAAGCCATCGGGCTCCTTACTGAAACCCAGCCAAAGCATACCAGTATGACCACCTGTTCTCACAGCAAAGTAACCACAGAGTTAGGCATCGACCGCCATTGTCCCTCCGGTACCGTCTTCGTCTCGACCCAATACAACGTCTCGCCCCTTGTTGGTAAAACACGAAGTAATACAAATTGGGTGCCGTCACGAAGTCAGCTGTCCGTCACGAAGTCGGTGAATAATGTCGATTAACTGGTATCTCGAAATACATAAAACGTTGTCTCTCCTTTTCTCCTCTCCATCTCCCCTTTCTTCCTCTACTCCAAGCGCCTCACTAATGAGCTAAGTCAGATCCCTGTCAGTGTCCTAACGACAACCTGAATACTGCAATAAGATAGAACAATTGTTTGTTTGTTTGTGTGTGTTTTTATTGTTATACTTGGGTCTATGACTATCTAGCACATTGGGCTCCTCTCTGACCCAGGCCACACCTTGTACAGTGCTTCTATCCCCTTTTGTTACTTGAAAGATCATTGATATATTGCCCGTGATGAATAGCCATTCAGCTCAGTATTTACCCGCGGAACTCGGCCACCTTTTCCACGGAACCTTCTACCCAAAAAAATAAAATGGTAGCAATGGAAACTGTATGCGCGGGAAAAATTCTCCAAAAACCTGCAGCCCTAGCCAGGCGAGGCCTAGACACCGGGACCACATGTGGTGCGCATATTCATCTATACCTCCCTTCTTCGTAACATTCGAGGCCGACCTGATCCAATCCACCATCTCCGTATCGGGTGCAGGGTACGCTCCGGAAACTCATGGGATGGCTTTTCCTCCATGATCAAGTGTTGGTGATTAGTAGGGCTTCGGCCCTACCATCTGATCTGATCGTGGTTAGCTTCATGATAATGGTGATCGGGGAATGTGTTGAGAGATGAAGACGATACAGACAGCGAAAGCGATTGGGAATCCTCTTCGAAGTGAGGACTTTGTTACTCAATCTCGGCTCTGCAGACTCTACAGTGAGAGCTGGAGGTTCGTAGGGGACACCGCTGACAGGTGTTGAGAATAGTCCCCGAGATAGAACAATTCATACTGCCCAAATATGATCCATTTACCGACACCCCTCTTGTACGCTCGTTCCATAAAAATCTGCAATCACCAAGGGCCCCAAAGCTATCTTCAGTCTCTCCGAGGAAGCTCTACTCCTTAGAGCAGACGTAACTGCAGTAAAGTTTGCTTTCATTCAAATTGTTCCCGGACTTAAGGATGGAATCGCCTCCGTTTCTCGCTGATCAAATGGTTTTACCGTCGCTTTTTCGTCTGATGCATCGCTGAAAATTGCGATTGAAAATGCTGATTCCATAAAGGCGTCCCTTTCAGATACTCTAATTCAACTTGAGGACCGCATTTGATACGTTGTTAAGCGTATCCCTCGCACTATCTGGAATCCGATCTCCAATCTGGTTCCCACCACGCTTGATGATGTTAAGAGCATCGCCAATGCATAGACAGGCGTCGCTCCGTCTGGTGCCCAATGGTCTTTACATGAAGATTGTCATTATTCTCTGCACACGGCGGTTATTTTCTTCCCAAAAGAGGTGTCTACTTTTCGAATCGTTGACAGCGCCCCTTCACGACGCTATATCCCTAACCCAAAGGTCATCCAGTGCGATGCTTGCTTTGGGTTTCATCAATAATCTCACTGTCGCACACAAG